CCCCAAAACCCCAAAACCCCAAAACCCCAAAACCCCAGCATATTATATAATATTGAAGATAATACTAAAGGTAAGAGATGGAAAGTATTCACTAGGGTTCGGTTATATGAGGATTCCTTGATCATAGCTGTTGAGGATAAGTTATGTAATTATGGGGATTAGGGTGCTCTAGGCTCTAAATTTGGAGGTTTTCTTAAGATTTTGACGGGCTCTTGGTTTAGCTGGGTTGGGGAGGAGGTCACTTGTGATAGTTGCCTTGGGTCCTAGGGGCATTGGGAGAGAGGTGATGAGGTTAGGATGTTTGTGAATAGGATATTGCTGTGTTGGCTTTGGGGTATTGAGAAATTGTATTTAGGTGTTATTGGTTTGGAGGTTTATGCTACAAAATATTACTAAGGGTTTACCCTGTAAATATTTTGGAAACAGCCTAAATTTTTCATAAATCATTGAGTAGAAAATAACAACCTTCCCTTTAAATATCATAACAGGTGTTCAGCATTAAATAAGACTTGGGTCCACTTTCCTAGATAATACTAAAACATTTATTCAGTTTTGCCTCGTGAAGGATTCCTATCTTAAAATTTCTTCAAAAATTCGTGCTTACAATACGACCTTGAAGAACCAATTAAGAATTTTACAGTTTACACATATTTTAATGCTGCAGGCTGAAAGGAATTTGTATCATAATGTTTGTTGCTTTGGCCATCAAGGAATCAATAATGGTGGAACTAAGCCTCTACTCTCACCTAGTTTTAGCATATCACATTGATGACTCCAAAGGAGTAAAATTTAAATGAATTTATTTCTGCATAATCATTCGAATCCTCAAGTGCTAATATTATTAAATATATCAGTAAACCCTTTCATTCCAAAGCCAAGAAGTTAAAAATTAGGGAATCTGATTAGTTAATCACTAGCTATACAGCTAAATTAAGATTTTCAAAGTCCTAAAATTCGTTAAAATACCCCCAAATGTGATTTCTAAATCACCTAAAAATGCTAATTCGATTTGAATTCAGCGAATTTTTCCTTATAACAAACAAGTGCATGATTTAAATACCTCTGATCAAGATCTGGCTTAGTTTAGGCGCCAATTAATAATATTTCTTCCTGTAATCTACAGGCAGATTAGTCACCAATCTTCTCTGTCTCTTAAAAACAAACCCTAAAATATAGATATTTTGAAGAATAAAATGAGTTTTCAGAAAGATTTCAAGACAGATTTTCAGAAACAAGACTGGAGTGTAATGCATCCGAGTGTAAGTCTAAGCGACTGGCTTATCATTTCTTGGGTTTTGGTTCATGATCTCTATCTATTCACAGTCGATCAACTAATATTTATTAAGGCAAAGGAGGAAATAGAAAATGGGGAACAAACAAAGTTTATAGCTGGCCGAGTTTATCCAGATTTAAGGCCAAAGATATATGATCAAGATTTTAGCAAAATCGAACAATTCAGTGAAATAGTATCTTGGAAGTATTTATTTATAGGAGCGAAGAGATAAATTAATCAGATCGACCCCTTCGCCTCGAAGAGTATCACTAAAAGTTGATGAGACAAGATTTTCTCAATCTTGGAAGGAGTTAAAGAGGAGAAGATATTCTGAAAGCGACCAGTTTTTAGCTAATAAAAGTAGCCTTTTGAAGACAAAACAGAATGTATCGAAGATTCGGACTGGTTTGAAACACAGAAATCTAAAGAAAAGAGACCTCAAGTGTTTAAGAAAGCGTAGAGAAAGCTCTAGTATCCATTCTAACTCAAAGTTTGATCAGCACAGAGATCTTGAGGACATTGATAACTCTTCTGTAAGTTCTCATATAGTCTACGCTGATACAAAAATAATTAAGTGGAACCCATCTCTTTCTCATCAAAGTAGCCAAGAAGATCATTCAGAAAGAAATATTTTCGGTGATTTCTCTCACAAAAGCCTTAATGAATTCAAGAGACATCCCAATTCTTGAATGCTGATGAATAAAGGAAGAATAGACTTTGAAGGCACTGAAATAAACATAGAGTCTCCTTGCACACTGGTTAATGGTCTTAATAATTCACATCTAATCATACCTACTGCTTCATCCAAAGTCATTATTGAAGCTATACAAAGAGAGGGTGGTTCAAGCAAAAGGATGCCTACATTTTTCAAGCCAAATAACAAAGCTCTGGATTCAAACTCATTCATTGTTTTCCATCCAATCTCTTCCGAGAATGAACCCTCTTCGGAAGAAATCTTAGACTTTAGCCACAAGAGTCATGACAACAAGGAGACTTATGAGCAGCACGAAAATTGTTCGAACACGAGTGCTTCTAGAAAACACATTATGTTTTCAAAGGAATTACCCTTTTCTTCACTTGTATTCCAACACTTCATGATGAACTACTGTGTCTGCTCCAATTTTGGAGCATAAGAGTTGATCTTATGTTTCCAGCACCCAGAGATATTTTAAAAGAATAACTTAAAATATGTGTAAATTCGGAACAAATAATTCTTTCAATAGGTACTCATAGGCTGGGGTTTTGGGGTTTTGGGGTTTTGGGGTTTTGGGGTTTTGGGG